CATTGCCCTAAAAGGGTGGTGGTGTCTTAAATGTGATAGCTGGTCATTTGGGCTTCAAAAATGCTAAAGGACCAAGTTTCTACACTAGATATAGAAGTACGATTTTTTTTTTTACTAAAATTTGAGGCTCTCAAGTTAGATCTGATTTGCTGGAGCAAGGGAAGGAGAGGTTGGCATTTGGGAAGCAGTCTGGAGTATAATTTGAGAGCCTTTGTAAGGTGCAGGCTGTTTCCAGGGTGTCACTGATGCATGGTGCGTGTGCCCTTCCTGCACTGCCGTCAGTGTCATGTGTGCTACTGTTTCATTACTGGTAAGAGCAGCTTTATATTACAGAAATACTAAAAATGGATTGTTGCTTCCTAAATCTAGTTGAGTGGTTGCCATGGACTCTTGCAGCTTGCTCACAATGCATGCCATCCGGCAGGGTGGGATGCTGGGCAGCTAATTTGACCGACATAATTGTTCTTTTGTCTGAATCTCTGCGGTCACTAGGATTGAAACAGGCCTTAAGAAAGGTGGTCTTACATTAGGAGAGCCAGTCTTTAGTACTAAAACAGCTCCACTTGTTTTCAGTGACATTGGCCTCTGCCTGGGACATGGTTTTTTGGGGCAGAGAGGGGAGGAAGAAGGGTGGCCTCTGTTTCCATAAGCAAGCCCACATGTCTGCATGGTCCCTCATTTGTGGTAGCACCCTAGAAAAATTGCTCATTCCCAAAACCTTCTGAGGGTATGGATCCATGACTCCACTAGCTGGGCTGCGGTGGGTCAAGGAGAGACTTGGTGAGAGATGATCTGCTGCTGGCAGGGATGGCATCCCTCACAGGTGGTGGGGAAGCCTGTGGCTGGTGGCCTTCTGCAGTGGCTGCAGGGAGAAAGTACCCCGAGCAGCGCGTTTCAGCATTAGGGCTAGGAAGAAATTGATTTTAAAATGTTGAGACCAGTCTGAAGAAAATGAGTTAGAGGTTTTATGGGACCATGTTATCTGCTGACTGAAGTCTTGAGTGCCACTGGGTCTAAACAATCAAGTGATTTCTCTTAAGGTCAATATTATCAGATTGGTTATTTAAGATAAAATTTAAAGAAATGAAGCTAAGTTGCTGTGTAATGTTGTAGCTAGGAGGTCAGTACGTATGTGTTTGTCCAAGTCAGGGTTTCAAGTTATCTGGTCCGAAATCACTTGAAAATAAGTTTTTTCAGTACTGAGCCAGTATGTAGGTGAACATATTTAGATGTGACACCCAACCTTTCCTTAAAGCTCACATAGATACTCTTGCCCTGAAAGTAGGGAAGGCTGTTTTCCTTTTTTCAGCAAGGATAAAATTTGATTTTTATGAAGAGGTAGATTCAGATGAATAAATAACTGTGGCAGAAAGGAAAACTGTACAACTTAATAGCTTCACAATACTTGTGCTAAAATATTTTTAAATCAGCTGCTGTTGCTGCCTCTGCTTATTGTTACTTGATTTTTCTCTTCTTTATGTCATTGCTTTGTTTGTACCTGATATCGGATAAGTTGCATCTTTCTTTGACTATGTGTTTAATAACTTTTCCATTTCATAGGAATCATTGCAATCGGCCACATTAATGAAGCAATTGACCAAGGAAATCCTGAGAAAACTCTAGAAGCCCTACTGTTGCCCACAGCCAAGCTGCAAGATGTGAGACCAGTAAATGCAAGGCATTATCAGGATGTTCTGCACCACGCCAAAGCAGAGAAATGCAAGGTTAGAGCTTGGACTTTTGCTGTTTGTCAGAACTGAAATGCCATGTCTTTTCACCTACATGTGTGTCCCTGTCCTGTTTCCCGCAATGTTAGGATGAGCTGTGCCAATGGCCTTGAAAGTAAGCCAATGACCACAAACTGGCACTAAGTAATTTTTCACTACAACCTATTCTTACTGGCCAAGGGGATTAATTCTCCATGTATTTATACTAAGATATATTCTGCATGTGTGTCACTACTGATTTGACACAACCTTGCTTATTTTTAATTCTACTAGGTTGCTGTAGCTATTGTAAAATGTGGGAAGCAGCGGCCCTGATGTAGTTATGAATTTGTGCAAGGATCTAGTTACTAGACTGTGTCAGGCAAGGACTTACAATGTGGATGGGAATTGAGGTTTCTGCCAGAAAGGAGCTGTAGTCATGCTGAAGGAGTCATGGTGTTCCTTAACAAACCTCTAGGAAGTACTTTGAGGAGTCTGTTGCTTAAATCTGGTGTTTTATAATGGACCTTTGTACGTATTTCTGTTCTGGCTCTATCTAGCAACAACAAGCTGGTTGTCTTGTGTGTGCCTTCAGTTTAAACCTCTCTCAGCAGGATATGGCTATCTGCTTCCCCAAAAGCAGTGCCCTGGTTAGCATCACAGCTCAGGGAAGCGTAAACAAAGATCAGCCTAACAGCTTGCAGGATGTGACTGAACATGAGATTAGCTAAAGCTACTAGCACAGCACTTAAAATGTCCAGTGCTTGGAAAAGATGCTTAAAATTCACATAATGCTTTCCTAAAGTAACATGGTCAGCCGGAGAAAGTCCCTGAACTTGTAGAAATATCTTCTGGCTATCTTGCCACCTCACCTGTGGTACCTGCTGTGAAACTGTTTCTGCAATCCACTACCAGAGTTTTCAAAAGGCGTTTGCACATCTCAATTTCTTGTTTGGGTTCCCAGGTAAGGGCTGGTTTCACCAAGCCCTGGATCCTGAAAAGCCTCCTCCCTTGCCATGTGTGCTGGGGAGGGTTTAGGGCATGCTGACTACTTTACCTGCCCTGGAAGGGCCAGAGTTGGTACTTGCCTGCAGAGAGTGTCCATGCAGGTGGTGGCTGCGCAGTGCTGGCCCGGGACATGCCAGACCCCCTTTGTGCATGTGCAGTGAGGTGGGATGTCCCCGAGACAGAGACCTACAGCCCACAGACACCCATGTGCCTGCACACCAGCCCTGCCCCAGCTCACTCCTGCTGCTGTGCTCCCTGGGTGCAAACCTGGTGTGCCTGCTCCTGTCCCTATGTGAACGTACTGATAGGAAACAAATGGGCGTCTCCAAGTTTTGGAACAAAAATTGTACAATCTCTTTGAAATTTTCTCATGCAAAAATTTGTGATGTTCCTAGAGACTCCCACTGGCCTTTTTCTCCTGAGGTATTTTGTTTTTGCAGTCCTTTCATAACTACTTAAAACATCTCCTGTAAACAGGAGCTCCCCAAATAAATACTCAGATGCATTATTCTCACTTACTTTCTGTGCTGGTCAATCACATCGTTCTTTAGGTGCAGATATATGATTTAGATTGAACTTTCCTTAAAAAAACAGAGTTTAATAGATAATGCAATATCTGAAGTCTGTCTAATCCCCACTTTTTCTGAGCCCTGTTTATATAGCAGATCTGCCTTTAATTGCATTCAGCATGTTTTAAGAGTGAGCTGTCGTAAAAGGAAATATTTGATTTACAAGGATCAGATAGGTCTGCCTGTGAATTTCCTGTGTTCCCCAGTGTCTGGCAAAACATATGGGTCAAACCTGCTCATTTACTCTAACCAGCCTGCTGTCATGTCCCTGTAGCTGTGATGGCTTTGGGGAAGTAGAATTTGCACCCAAATCTCCCAGTACCTGTTACAGTCTTAAGCTCACATCACACCTACTTGCTCCTTGCTTGAAATTGAAAATGCAATGCTGGAATTTATTTATTCTTGTAATCTTAAACCACAGCTTCTAACAGTTCTCAAGGCTGTTTCAAACCAAGTGTATTCAGGCCCCAGTGAAGAGAAACCCTGTGTTTAGGGAGTGTGTTATGGATACCTGAAAAGTTAAACAGATGTGCTAAACTCTGAAATGGTTCCTGTGTTATTTTATTTTTTGAGTGACAGGCACACTGGTTTTACAGTTAGGTTCACATTTTTTTATTTACAACAGTTTTAAAACATCTGGATTATTTTAAAGTTATCTTTAAAATCTGCTGTTGTGCATATTGAGGGAATGGCGTGATTAAAACTAACTTAAATTAGGAGCCAGAAGAAATTGAAGAAGGAGAGTCTTATTCGGCTGCAAATTCTTTGAAGGCATTTTCCAGGGCAAATGATTTTATTTAAGTAAAGTTTTTTTACAGTACTACTATCAAACTGATGTAAAACACTTTTTCTCATCACTGTCTTACACACTGTACTTACAAATGCCAACCACTGATCTCATTTTGTGGGAAGTTGTACTCAATATATATACGTAGCTTTTGAATTTCTGTAAACATAAAAGCTGACCCTTTACTAATGTGGACAATCAATCATAACTAGCTTCAGTGTTTGTAACACTAGGTATTTCCTGTGAGGATGTGGAAATACAGAATACTACAAAACAGCTTCCCTGCTTTGCTTACCAAGCAAGAATAATACATGCCTGGATTCACACTGATAAGGGTTAGCTCCCAGCAATCCTCATGGTCTAGAGGAGAGCAGGCGCTGACAAAGTGGAAGAACAAGTCTCCAGTGCAAAGCTGGTTAAGCAGCCTCATAGGAGATGCTGCCTTGGAAGTGTCGGACTCCATGTCTATGGCTGTAGATTTACCACTCCTATGGGCACTCTGGTTCTTTATTTCCAACATCCAGGGCAGTACTTGCTCTTGGCTATGTGACAGGGAGCTTCTGCAAAGCTCAACAGCTCCTGGGCACGTACAAAGGGCTTTTACTTGTTCCCATTTCCACTGGGCCAAAAGCTTCCTGCAGTGATTGTGGGCTGAGACCTGATTTGAAGTATTTGGAAACCATGAATGGGCCTAAAATTGTTGTTTGGATATTGATTCCTCCTCTGGTATTCAGAGGCTGTGGTGACTGATATTCTGGTTTCTTCTCCATGGCCATGAAAGTTGTCATCTCAGAAGGAAATGGAGGGGTGGAGCCACTTCCCTGAATCTAAGTACACCAGATGTTGCAATACACATGATAAAATTAGAGCTGGAGAAGTGTATTTCTGAATATATTTTACTGAGATTGTGGGGGTTTTAACACCTTTTAATTTTTTAATTGTTGCACCTGAGGTTTGTGGTGGTCTAGGTTAACACTATACAAAACTGTAATTCCAATAATACAAAAATAGAACTAAATTCATTTTTCCCTGGATATTTTAACCATTGTTAGATAAATATTGGATTGACTTCTAATTTTTGACATCAGAAAATAAAGGAAAGGATCAAGACAACTGTTTAAGCTGCTAAGGCATAAAGCAATTAAATAAAAAGAATACAAGCCATCTGTGTTGTAATAGTAATAGTTGATGTGATGGATAATGAGGATAATATTGCTTGGCACAAAGCAAATAGCAAAGATGGTAAGGATTAAAAGACTGACTTTAACGTACCAGAACCATTCATGAGTCTTGAGTGTTTGTATAATTGAGACATAGCAAAAAACAATAATTGCAAGAGGTATTAAAAACCCAAAGATAGCTAAAGAAACATAGTAGTAGAACTGGAAGGAAGATATTGTTTCACAGGCATTGTGCACATCATGGCAGGTATAAATGCCCAGTTGTTTCACATAATAGCTTTGCTGCATAATGCAAAGTGGGAGCATGTACAAGAAGACGATGGTCCACACAGTAGCACAGACTGTGATGGCATAGGCACGTTTCGGCAGGCTCTTGTAGGTGAAGGGGTGAACGATGGCCACGTAGCGGCTGACGCTGATGCACGTAAGCAGCAGAATAGAGCAGTACATGTTGCCGTAAAACACTGCAGTGGTAGTTCGACACATCATTTCCCCAAAAATCCAGTTGTTCCCATTGATGTGGTACGCTATTTTGAAGGGCAGCATGATGCAGAAGAGCAGGTCTGAAACTGCCAAGTTTGTGTAGAGGATGGCAGTGCACACAGACCGGATCCTGAAGAGCAGCATCCACAAAATGATGGCATTAGATGGTACACCCAATAAAACAGCACTGAGGTAGACAGCGGGTATTAGCTTGTTGCTCAGAGAACCAGTTAGGTACTCCAGCGTAGTGTTGTTCACTTCTATTAAAGTGGAGTCATTTGACTTTTTTGAAGAGCATTTGTGTTCTCTGATATGGATGGTCGTTGTCTCCCCTTCTATAGCGTATGGGGGGATGTAATCGTAGTCTCTTGCTGAAATTCCACGGAAAGTCTTGATAAGAGACACCGTTTTAATTGCAGAGCCATTCAGTGAAAATTCTGAAGCTTAAGAAAAATTAAAATTGTTTAAAAGAGCGAACTACTGGATTAGCAATATAATTCACCTTTAGGTACAGAGAAAAGCAAACATATCCATGTGAAAAGCAATATATGTTTAAAAGATTTGGTGGCATTCTTTTTTGCTTTGAGTGTTCATATCAAATGTACTCAAGGACAATCTTCACCTATTTTGTCATCTCACACCCAACCCTGAAAATTTAGCATGAATTTAGCATTAAGGTGCTCTTTCTGCATTTTTGCATGTTTTCAGTAATCTTTGGCAAAAAATATCAGACATTTGTGTAACGTTTATCACCTGTAGAGGGCTTTTCCCAGTATTAGCAATGTTGGTAACTCATTGTATAAGCAGCAGCCTTGGTCTAGGCTTGATCAGAATTTCCAAAGCAAACAGCAGCACTATCCTTGTCACTTAATGGATAAAACTCATGACTGCGAAAGATGCAAAAAGTGCTGTCTTGCCTATGTCAAATTAGGCAATTGAAATAATGCTTAATTTTTTTGGTCTCACATATCAAATTAATGTTATTCTTCAGCTTCTGTCTAAAGCAAACCAGATCTTTTCAGCTTCTCGTATGTGAGGAAGGGCAGTTAGTCTTGAGAACTGAAAACAAATGCTTGGGCTGATATTAGATTAAATTTATTGGTAAGTGAATAAAACTTCTCACGCAGCAGGAAAATTTTTAGTGAGTAAGTATCGCGAGCATGTGGGCAAAGCCAATGATGCCACTTTTATTAATGCCTGTTCCTCAGTCTTTAGTAGAGAACTTTGTAGAGACATTGACACTTCCAGATGAAGCACAAAATGTGTTCAGAATACTTTCTAAACCCATGTGTTGCAAAATAGATATTGCAGAATGAACAGCTGTGAAGTTAAGTTTGTCATTTAAAAATTTTCTTAGCTGTGTTTAAAGAGACTTCATGTAAAACTTACAGCATGCGTCTTGAAACTGGAATTCAGAAGCAAACTGAAATTTGGATGAAAACCTGTGGGTTTTTCTTTTACCCTTCCATATTGGAATAACATATTTTTATCAATGCTCACTGGCAGACTTATGGTAGAATGTTTTGAAATTATAATGAGACTGCATCCCTTTTAGTAATTTTCTGCATTGTTAATCCAGAAAATGAATTTTAATCAGTATTTAAAAGACATGTCTGCACGCATGTGCGTGTATATATATGTAGTGTATATTTACAAAAAAGCTTTTAAAAATGAGCTTTGTTTGAAAATAACTTTAATTACAGTGAGAAAAAAGTAGTGGGGTTATTTGATCATTTCCTTTGGTTATTTTTGTCACAATAGTTATCTGACTATTTCCTTCTAATAGCACCATCTGTGAAGTCGTAATTCTGTTGAATGTTTTAAAGCAGAAAGAACAAGACACTACAGGTTTAAGATTATCATATCGATACAGAAATACTACAGTGAGGGTGCATCTCCAGTAAGCGCAGAAAGATCCCTTAAATAAAATT